AAGTTAACATGTTTTCCACAAAAGTTAACATGTTCTCCATAAGAGTTAACATGTTTTTAACAAGAGTTAACATGTTCTCCACAAGAGTTAACATGTTTTCCACAAAAATTAACATGTTCTCCATAAGAGTTAACATGTTTTCAACAAGAGTTAACATGTTCTCCACAAGAGTTAACATGTTTTCCACAAAAGTTAACATGTTCTTCATAAGAGTTAACATGTTTTCCACAAAAGTTAACATGTTCTCCACAAGAGTTAACATATTTTTCACAAAAGTTAACATGTTCTCCACAAGAGTTAACATGTTTTCCACAAAAGCTAACATGTTTTACACAAGAGTTAACATGTTTTCCACAAAAGTTAACATGTTTTTCAAAAAAATTAACTATATGAACTTGAACCATGTTCACATATTAAAGGTCGCTCTTTCTTAATGTGTTAATTTTGTGTAACAACATTCACTCTATGGAGACCAGGCTCATCTGCGGCTATATGAACTATATGAACTTTATATACAACAACATATTGCCGCTGGCCGATCAATATTCATATTGCCAATTGTTCGTCATGACCATTGGCATTGTGTCGAAGTTAGATTGAATGAAAATTTAGCGTTGCACTATAGTTCGGTAACTCCCTCTGCTTACCTTGAGCCCGTTAACAAAATTATAAACTTCATGGACCATATGAAGGCCGCATTCGATCTTGAAAAGGTGTGTAGGGCATTTAAATATAAGGAAATCCCATGCGAGTCTCAAAAGGGAAGGTACATTAACATATGAACCTTATTTTATTAAAGAATTTTCATCTCCAAAACCGACCTGTAATATGTATTTATGTTTTGTTATTTGTAGCTACGATTGTGGGATATATGTATACCTTTATGTACAGGCTATCCTACAACAAGGTGATGTTCTGCATGTTACGCCCGTCGATGATTCATCTGCGGTAGTGCGTGCAAGGCTTGCTGCGGAACTAATAAAAGAAGGCTGGGAATTCAGAAATAGAAAGGGCACAATAGCCGTGGAGGACCCAGCATTGAAAGCGCCTGCATGAGCCGCAAATGTTACAGCCTAAGGAAGAATGCTATGTAGATAAACAACTGTAAACAATCTTCATAATTTTCAGCTTGTATAGTGTATTAACAGCTAATGAACTAGTGCCCGGAGAAAGTTAACATGTTAGATGCGTAAGTTAATAATTATATCATGTCAGCTTCACTTGTTAAATATGGAGAAAGTTTATAACATGTCAGGTTCACTTGTTAAATAATACCGTATACGAATAAAGTTAACATGTTATCATCAAGAGTTAATATGTTATCAACAAGGATTAACATGTTAACAGCAAGGGTTAACATGTTAGCGAATAAAGTTAACTTGTTTGCGACAAGAGTTAACATGTTTGCTACAAGAGTTAACATGTATGTCACAAGAGTTAACATGTTTACGACAAAAGTTAACATGTTTTTGACAAGAGTTAACATATTATCAATAAGAGTTAACATGATTACAAAAAGAGTTAACATGTTACCCAACATGTTATTTACAAGAGTTAACATTTAATAGGTATAGCTTAATAACCTTCCAAAAATATTTTATATGTTAACTGTAACTTAACAATCTAACTGAGTAACTTTACAGACCCAAGTAAGATAACATTTTCATTATAATTCACATTGGCATAGATATATTTCAGTTCATGTACACAGGTAACTACAAAAGTATTACAAACACCCAAACATATTTCAGTGCATATACACCGGTAACTACAAGAGTCAACATGATGGTAACAAGATTTAACATTTTATCATCACGAGTTAACATGTTATCAACAAGAGTTAACATGTTATCGCCAAGAGTTTACTTTTTGTCAATAATAGTTAACATGTTACTAACGAGAGTTAACATGTTATGTCAAAGAGTTAACATGTTATCAAAGAAAGTTAACATATTTCCACATAAAATTAACATATTATAAACAAGAGTTAACATGTTATCAAAGAAAGTTAACATATGTCTGACAAAAGTTAACATATTATCCCTAATAGTTAACATGTTATCTAAGAAAGTTAACATATTTCCGATAAAAGTTAACATGTAATCAACAAAAATTAACATGTTAGTAACAAAAGTTAACATGTTTGTCACAAAAGTTAACATGTTATCATCAAGAGTTAACATGTTATCAACAAGAGTTAACATGTTTTTTACATGATTTAACATGTTTAAATAAGAATTAACATGTTTGGAACAAGAGTTAACTTGTTTGCGACAAAAATTAACATGTTTGCTACAAGAGTTAATATATTAGCTATAAGAATTAACATGTTACTAACGAGAGTTAACATGTTTTGTCAAATAGTTAACATGTTATCGAAGAAAGTTAACATATGTCTGACAAAAGTTAACATATTATCCACAATAGCAAATAGTTAACATGTTATCGAAGAAAGTTAACATATGTCTGACAAAAGTTAACATATTATCCACAATAGTTAACATGTTATCTAAGAAAGATATGTCTGACAAAAGTTAACATATTATCCACAATAGTTAACATGTTATCTAAGAAAGTTAACATATTTTCAACAAAAGTTAACATGTTATCCACAAGAGTTAACATGTTAGTAACAAAAATTAACATGTTTGTCACAAAAGTTAACATGTTTGCAGCAAGAGTTAACATGTTTGCCACAAGAGTTAACATATTTTTCACAAGAGTTAACATATTTTTCACAAGAGTTAACTTGTTTGCAACAAAAGTTAACATGTTTGCTACAAGAGTTAACATATTAGCTATAAGAGTTAACGTGTTACCCAACATGTTATTTATAAGAGTTAACATTTAATATGTATAGCTTAATAACCGTCCAAAAATACTTTATATGTTAACTGTAACTTAATAATTTAACTGAGTAACTTTACAGACCAAATAAGTTAACATTTTCATTATAATTCACATTGGCATAGATATATTTCAGTTCATGTACACAGTTAACTACAAAATTATTAAAAACATTCAAACATATTTCAGTCCATATACACCGGTAACTACAAGAGTAAACATGATGGTAATAAGATTTTATATTTTATTATCAAGAGTTAACATGTATCAACAAGGGTTAACATGTTATCACCAAGAGTTTACTTGTTATCAACAATAGTTAACATGTTACTTACGAGAGTTAACATGTTATGACAAAGAGTTAACAGTTATCAAAGAAAGTTAACATATTTCCTACAAAAATTAACATGTTATCAATAAGAGTTAACATGTTAGCAACAAAAGTTAACATGTTTGGTACAAGAGTTAACATGTTTGTCACAAGAGTTAACATGTTTGTTACAAGAGTTGACATGTTTTCAACAAGAGTTAACATGTTTGCAGCAAGAGTTAACATGTTTGCCACAAGAGTTAACATATTAGCGATAATAGTTAACATGTTTGCAACAAGAGTTAACATGTTATCCATCATGTTATTTACAAGAGTTAACATGTAATAGGTGTAGCTTAATAACCTGCCAAAAAAATTTTATATGTTAACTGTAACTTAACAATCTAACTGAGTAACTTTACAGACCCAAGTAAGATAACATTTTCATTATAATTCACATTGGCATAGATATATTTCAGTTCATATACACAGTTAACTACAAAAGTATTACAAACACCCAAATATATTTCAGTTCATATACACCGGTAACTACAAAAGTATTACAAACACCCAAATATGTTTCGGTTCATATAAACAGTTAACTACAAAAGTATTACATACACTCAAAAGTGTTTCGGCAAATCCGCAACTCATATCAATCGGTGATCGGTTCATTGCAAGATGCGCGGTTGTGGCCTTCGGAGTGGCATCGAGAGCATTTCAAAGGTCGTTTGTACACTGTTCGGTTGTTAATACGTCATGTTTTATTTCTCCCTTTCTTTTGATAGTATGTGGTGGAAGTATCTCGATCTCATCCCTTGGCACGCTTCGTTTCTCATAATCTGGTATAGGATAGAGAATCAGGTCATAGCTCTTTTTAAATGTTTCTATGGACATAAACCAATCGCAATATTGGTAAATGTCTCTCTTCATGTACAAGATGACTGCACATGCATGTTTACACAGAATCCGCATGACTTCCCAAGCATGGCAAGTGCATGTCTTCTTCTCCAAATCAACACGGGTAGTTTTATGTGCTTGCACTTCAAATATGTCAGCTGCAGCTTGCTTAACATCCAATGGACGACATTTCTCTATATTTTCTTTAAGCACCATCTCTGCTTGTGGACAGAGATATCCAACCCATTTATCTGCAAGTAACCGGCGATTACTCATTCGGACCATTATCTGTTTACGGATATGCTCAACCATTTGTAGAATCCGTAGCATTCTAGCTTCCCTTATCCAATTATTAAAAAACTCAGCGACATTAGATGTTACGTGCCCATACCTGAAATTATATATAACTTTATAACAGGTCACAAATAAGGGTTAACAAATAATTGAATAGGGTTAACATAATATGAATTACAGTTAACAGTTTACAGATAAGAGTTAACATGTTATAAATAAGGGATGACACAAATAATTGAATAGAGTTATTTTTTTAATTACAGTTAACATGTTTACATATAATAGTTAACATTTAACAGTTAACATGTTTGCAATAAAAGTTAACATGTTTTTGACAAGAGTTAACATGTTATCAACAAGAGTTAACATGTTATCCATAAGAGTTAACATGTTATCCACAAGAGTTAACATATTATCAACAAGACTTAACATGTTATCCACTCTGATATAGTTAATAACTCTGATATAGAATTTAACAAATCCAAAGATAACATGCTAAATAGCATAAGTTCATACATTAGCATAGATATAGAACAGCCAAATAACGTTACCTTATTCCCGGGAAGAATGTATTTGCCCATTGATCAGGAGAGTAGTTCATAGCAATGTTGTATGCCCTTGGATCCATGTCATATATCTCTTTCATGTACTAATTCCATTCTGCTATTGTGTATTTATAACAAGCACTTTGGAGTAAGTTCCCAAGAACATGAGTGTCCTTCGACTTCATACCCAAGTCCTTAAGCTTTAACCTGAAATTTTCAACAAGATGTAGAACACACCTCGAGTGTAGAGCTTCTGGAAAATACTCTTTTACTGATTCTTTAATTCCTTTGTCCGCATCAGAAATTATAACCAATTGGTGGGGAGGATTGTAAGGGTCAGCCCTCTCATAAAGTATGGACCATAGACCTTGGAGGAACCACTTCCAATTCATCAAATTCTCTTGATCACATATGCAATACGCTAAGGGAAATATACCTTGGTTCCCATCGTATGCTATGGCCGAGAGGAGAATACCTTTATATCGATCCTTCAAAAATGTACCGTCCAAAAATAGAAGGGGTCTGCATCCACTCAAGAAACCTTTGATGCATGCAGCATAACAAACAAAGAGTCTCGAAAACCTCCCCTCATTCTGGTCAACATGTATGTAACTGCCGGGATTTGTCTCTTTTACCATGCGCTCATACCTAGTCGTGTAAGAAGAAACAAACCAACAAGTTAACATGTTATCCGTGTAGCTTAACAAGCGACCAAAAAAAGCTAACACATTATTGGGGTAACTTAACAAAAGTTAACATGTTATTTACAAGAGTTAACATGTTAGTCGTGAAACTTAACATGTTATCAATGTTATCAATGAACTTAACAAGGAACATGTTAACTATTTGTTTTAACAAGCAAACTTTGAAACTTAACAAGTTAATAATAAAGCTCAGCATTTACCATCGTAGTTGATCATACGACTCATATATATCCCCGTAAAGCTTCTCCTGTGCTCTCTCTTTCCCCCACCATATCTTACTGTAATCAATTCTAAGGCCGTAGTTTGTGAGGAACTCCTTTTGCACATCAACGGGTCGGATTTCTGGACGGACCTTCAGGAGTGGTTGTAACTGTGTTGCAATGAATTTACGGGATGCCCTTGAACGACCTGTATTTTGCCCGTACTGCCCACAAGTATGTTCATTAACAAACTTCTTGATCGATAGTCTATTTGCATTCTTAACAGGTGAAGCAAACAACATCCATGGGCACTCGTAAGTTTCTTTATATCGGCAATATACACGGATACGTTTTGGTTCGTTCTTTTTAAACTCATAATCAAACATTTTGGCCAGAGAATAGTATGTCAGCGCCAACCTTAATTCTTCAGCACTTTCAAATTCTTGACCCTCTTCAGTTAATGCATTATGCCACCAACCAGGAATCATTACTGTGTTGTTAATAATGTCATCAGAACGCACTACACTGCTACCACTGGGATTATCAATTGGAATTCTTTCAGAACCATGGTTTGCGGCAGAAGTACTATCAATAAACTTTGGCTTCAGTGTATTCATAATGCTGCACAAATATAATTGGTTTTTCTTAAAATAACAAATAGGACTTGTACTTAAATAATGCAGTACCCTTAAGAGTTAACAAATATGCCCTAAAGCTTAACAACCTTCGGTAGAAAGTTAACATATATCAGTTAAAAGCTAACATTTAACCTGCTCTATGCAATTCATAAGTTTTCAAATAAATTAAGTGTAAATATAACTTACATTTCAGGAGGTTGCTTCGGGGTGTTCTCACATCTGGAAACATCTACATCTATAGTAGCTCGAATATGGATCTCCAGACACCCGATATTACGGTTGTGCTCCACCATACACTCCATATCATCCTCATTCTCGATCTCAAAACTCAGATCAGAGATCCTTTCAGATTTATAAACCATTGATAGCGCATCATAAGGAACCTTCAACCTCTCAGCCACGTCGAACTTAAACTCAAAAAAAGAGGTTGCAGAAGTTACCCTTGAGAACACTGCTCTCTCACCCAAGGAAACCATGCAAATAAGGGGGCTCTCCGCCATAAATGAAGGGGATTTAAGAGGAGTTATGAAGGGCACTTTAGGACAAGTAGGGGGCTGAAGATCATAAGCCCTAACCGCAAAGATCTGCCCTTTGCACCATAAATACACTCTCTTCAAAGCCGAGTGGGTTAACAGGAGATATAACGGAGGGAGCGCGCCAAAATTTCCCCCCAAAACGGCCATCATCTCGCCTTAAATGCGACGGAGAGGTTTCGCCAGCGATCGGATCTCGTTTTCGAGGCACGGAGTTGAAGGCGGGGGTATTTTAGGGAGGCTGGGTGCAAATACGGGTGAGAGAACTGCTTTAAGGGCTCAGTTACAGTTTTTTGAATATTTAAGGGCTTAGCCACATGGGCCAAAGTACAGGGGGCTGGGCCACATTGTATTTTCAATTTTGGGGCCTTGAAACAATTTTTCCATAATATAATAAGTATGTTGATAATAACTATATATTACTTATATTTAATATATTATGTTAGATATTATATTAACACCTACTCAAACTCAAAACCAAAACACCAAACTTAAATTATCTAAAACGTGTTTTAAAATAAGTGTTGTGTTTTTAGTTTAAGGATGATTTAGCTTAAAAAATACCATGGTTTTTAAACATATGATGTTTTATTTTTAGTAAAAACACAATGAAAACAAGTAAAACACAATGATATCCAAACAGAGGCCTCCACGAACCAAAACGGTTAAGGGGAAGTTTCTGAATCGATACCGTTCTAGGGGGGTGTTGTGAAAATAACCATTTTAATTTCCATATGACCGCGGGCATCTCCACAGTTGACTCCTTCGGACTTCGACATGAGCTTCACTGGAATCCCGCCGGCCATCACATTAATCCAAAAAAAAAAAGTCATCTGTCATCTTCCACTCTCTATTATACTCTTGCTCGGTCCTTCGCTTCATCTGTGAACGATCAATCTTTGCAAGCAAGAACAAGAACTAGAAATGGACTCCATCTCCATCGCTCTCCAAAACCCTAGCCCCTCCTCCCTCAAATCCAAAGCCTCTTCCTCGTCTCCCCACCGTCCATCCCCTTCGATCGCGCGCTGCCGGTTGCCATTCGCAGCTCGCGCATCCCTGGCCGTTACAGCGCAACCGGCAGGTCGGAGCTACGACGTCGTCTATTCGTCGGCGGCGGGCATCATCGGCCTCTCCGTCGCCCCGCCAACCTCCTCCTCAACTCGACCTCTCCGTCGCCGTCGTCGACGCCAATGTCCCTTGCTACGGCGCCACCGGTGCTGGTGAGCTTCCTAGGGTTTTTCTTCTGGTTGTTTGATCCAGTTTAGATTGTTTATACCTTTCGAAATTAGAAGTATAGGCTTAATTTCATGAAATTTTCCATTGCATAATCTTATAAGATTCACCAAGTTTTTTGGTACCTTTAGGCTGTGTTTACTTCATCGGACAAATTTTCAAAACCAACCCATTTGATGTTTTAATTGCAAAAAACGACCTGTTTCCAATTTATTTAGAAAAATCGACCTGGTTTCAGCACTGTCGCTGAAACCAGGTCGGTTTTTCTAAAAAACTTTACGAAACTTCACGGGAGTTCAACTCCCGTGAAGTTTAGTACTATTTTAAACTTCACGGGAGACTCCCGTGAAGTTTATTTCCCTCAATAAACTACACGGGAGTTCAACTCCCGTGGAGTTTGTTGTATTGTTAAAACTCCACGGGAGTTGAACTCCCGTGGAGTTACAGGCCAAATTTTCCAGAGAATCGCTCTCTGGGAAATTTACACTGCAACTTCACGGGAGTTCAACTCCCGTGGAGTTTGTTGTATTGTTAAAACTCCACGGGAGTTGAACTCCCGTGGAGTTACAGGCCAAATTTTCCAGAGAATCGCTCTCTGGGAAATTTACACTGCAACTTCACGGGAGTTCAACTCCCGTGAAGTTGCAGGTTTTGCAAAAACATGCACATCATGCATACGTCTACCTATTTAACTCATATATATAACTATTTACCTGTTGACAATAATTACTGCAATATATATATTATTTAAACACGCACGAATCAAACAATACGCAAAAAGATCACATATCGAGCTATAATTGATCCATAAAAGTATAGTATTTGAAAATTCATACAATTTACAAATTTTAACAAAATAAGTTCAAATACAACCCAATATAGCTCCTCTCCTTCCTCTCCCTCTCTTCCCCCTCCCCCTCGCTCTTCCCCGCCCCCCGCGCTGATGAGCCTCGACTATCTGAGTATCCGGCTGTGTGTGAGGCTGCGAAGTGCCGGCTCCATCAGCATGTGAAGTGCCGGCTTCATCAGCATGTGAAGTTCCGGCTCCATCAGCATGCGAAGTGCCGGCTCCATCAGCATGCGAAGTGCCGCCGTCATCGTCACGTGGCCGTCGGCGCCGAGTGTACGCTTGCCCAAATGATCGAGACCTGTCCTCACGGCCTGCGAACTCGTCGACGTGAGTCTTATGAAACACCTGTGCTATGGTCTTCTTGATCCTGCCGAGGAGCCCTAACGCCACCTGATCCTGAATCTCAGGCACGGTCGCATCAATATCCGCCTGAATGCTATCCAAAGCACGGACCTGTGAGGTAAATAATTTAATAAGTACCAACTCAAGAAAAAAATATTATAATTTAGCTTAGAAACTTACGTAATCTCTCTCGTTCATCCCACTAGGGATGTAACTGTCTGTCGGTGGCCGTGGCATGTGTCCAGCTAAGGGCTGTGGGTCACGTGTGATCCATCTACGTGTGATATCCCAATACCAACCCATATATGCGGTGTAGTCAACAGCCGTGGGCCTCGTATCCTGGATGAAATCCCACCTGTGAGCCCACCTGTCTATGTAGGCCGCACGGACTATGGCCCAATCGTTATGGTGCGAAGTAGGTCGCCGCCGACGAGAGATCTGCTCAACAGGATCTGGTACATGCTAAGAGAGCGTAAACTGTCGTAGCACACGGTCAGGGACATGCATCTCCACGATCTCCCAACAAATCAATGGAACTCTCGCTCTCCACAAGTCGGGACTATCTCGGCAGATGGGTGCAAGAGAATGCATATCCAGCTCCGGCTGTGTATAGGGTCTCCACTTGAACTGAAATAAAATAAAAAATTTATCAGTATCAACAACAAAACTATAATATTCAAAACGACTTGAGATTTATATTTACCTGTTCGTGTTGGAGACCATCAAGCTCATTTCGGTAAAACTCACGATGGCGCGTTGCTGATCGGTACTTAGCGTACCGCACGTTATACCTATATGCAGAATAGAGAATATATAAGTACAAATTCAGTGCGAATAAAATTTGTGAGAATATATAAGTACAAATTCAGTGCGAATAAAATTTGTGTGTACAATTATACCTGTACGCCAAAGGAAACTGCCCCTGTAGGTCACGGTGCACAAGTAAAGTAGGGCGTCCAATATGAATGCGCTCCCATGACCAAATCTGTATCAATGTGCAGCATCCCTTGAATTCTTTATTCTGCATCAGGGATACTCTACTCAGTTCTCGATACAAGTATGCCAACACCGCACTGCCCCACGACAGTGCGCCGCATACGTCAAAATCCTCTAGCAACGACAACCATCGTGCATGTACAAGAGTCTTGCTCGCATCAGGAAAAAGCACGCACCCTATCATGTGCAATATGTAAGCCATTGAAATACTCATCTAGTTATATATAAACAACAAACGAATGCGCAACGTGAAGAAAGCAATAACTCGAAACCAAACATTAAATTTATATAACATAGTACGAAACGATACAAATTACAATCACAAATGACACACGGAAACAAACACAGAACGAAACCCCTAACATTTAACAATCACAAATGACATACGGAAGAAAACACAGATCGAAATCGCTACAAATTACAACATCAACGCCTAATCCTAATTGGACAATTATTTTTGTTATGGCCCGGTTGATCGCATCTACTATACTTATTTCTCCCCCTAACTCCTTCACGACCGTCATCCATACAATTTCTAATTCGTACGGAACGAGGGAGCCCCGCCGACCTTTTATACAAAGGAGGCAATATCAGTGGCCCGTCTTGTGTTCAATATTGACTATCATATAGTGGACGAAAACACTCATTGTATGTTTGTCGATAGTTGTAAGTAGAATACCAAGCCTCGACGAACTCATAGTGTGAAATCCTCGCACCACCTTGTAGATCAGAACAAGCCGCGACAACATGTGAACAAGGAATCCATTGTAATTACGGTACGTTGCAAGTGCACGTACACAAGTGATCCACTAACATGTTAACTTTATAAGAGCGATTTTCTCTATGTGATATTCCCTCAATGACTTCCCATTCATTAAAACTGTATCTTACGACATGAAAGGATCGAGCTTGTACAATCCGAGCCGCTAACATTTCATCATTTTTCGGTATGAGCTCCGAGCGGATATTTTCACTAAGTTCGCGACGTCGTAGAAAGAAGTTATTAAGTCTGTAGAATGTTTTAGCAACTAGTGACTGTATTGGGAAGTTATTAAGTCTGTAGAATGTTTTAGCAACTAGTGACTGTATTGGCATACCGCGTGCTCCCCTGAGTACGCCATTGAAACTCTCTGAAGCGTTCGTAGTCATCATACAGAACCGTCTCCCGCCATCTTCACATAAAGCCCACTTATCAACATTGTGTGGTCCCAAACTAGTTTCGATCCAATCATGTGCAGCTCGGGAGATAAACTTAATCCTCTCTCGTATTTGGTCATAAACTAATTTTTCTGTTGCACAGCCGGCTTGCCAAAGAAGATCTTGAACCTGACCGTTTCCAAATTTCTTCTTGAAGTTGTCCCTAATATGTCGCAAGCAATAACGATGTGCATGTGGTGACGGGAAATGACGTTGGAGTGCTCTTGGAATTCCTTTCATCCTATCAGATATGAATGTAATCAGCCGCGCACCCACACTAGGGATATGATATCTAATGCATGTAAAAAACCACGCCCAATTCTCTGTGTTTTCAATATCAACCACTGCAAACGTCAAAGGAAACAAACCGCCATCTGCATCAACTCCGGTGGCAACAAACAAATCACCTTTGTACTTGTCGTATAAGTGGGTGCCATCAATGCTAAGAAGAGGAAGATAATATCGAAACCCTTCAATACATGGCCCAAATGCCCAAAATACATCGGTGAACCGTCGATCTCCGCCATCAACGGGGTCCGAAGATACTTCGTAGACAGTTCCTGGATTTTCTCTTTTGAGTGCTTCAAGATAATGAGGTAAGATCTCATACGATTTATCCCAATCACCGAATATTTTTATCATCGTCTTCCTCCTAGCATTCCAACACTTGTGATATGATACATCCAAGTTGGTGGCTTTTTGCACTAGAAGACGAATATCTTTCGGCCTTAGATCAAAATCCTCCCTCAGATGCGGTAAAATCAATCGATATATGAAGGAAGAGGATGCATTCTTGTTATTCATCTCTAATCGAGGATTGCTACAAGTGTGGAGTCCGTTGTATGCCGTGATTTTGAATTGCCCGCCTACTCAATAGGAACACTTTCCATCACGGAGTTATCGATCCATTCTTCTCCTTGAAGTTCATCAGGCGACGGATCCTCTAAGACAACATACTCATTATTAGCATAACACCCGTCAATGTGGTGGTTGTCCCCTTCATCACGATCTATCAAGGTCATGCTATTAATTTGTAAGCCCTCCTTTTCATCATCATTCTCAGATTCAACACTTGCATTATCTTCTTGAACTCCCGTGTTAGTATCGATCGCATTCGAAATGCCCACAAGCGAAGGACCGCTCATATATTGTGATTGAGTCCAACCTTCATCTTGTTGAGGAGATAAAAAGCCAACGGAATCAACATCAGGGTCCTCCAACATGCGGGAATACATTCCATCATAATTCAACGATTTGCCCAAATTCCTTTTATGTTTTTCAATGAACAATTCAATCGAACGCTTCTCGTCATGTAAGACTCCAATGAGACTCATATCGTAGTCACTTGATATTTGAATGTCGCTTGTCCTGTTCTCCACAATAGGATAATTACAAATAACATTAAGGTGATACTCACGTGAGTTGGTTAATATAAATTTGTGCAATTCATTAACCAACTCCTCGAAAGTACACGATTTTGTTATAAACAATGGTCTCGTCGTACCTCCTTCATAAACGGGCATATTATTTTCGAGGTATTTAATCTTCCCATCATACGAACACAAAATTACGATTCGATCGTTCATCATTACCTCTGAAGAGTAAAACATTCAAGATCAATATTACACGAAAAGACTTTAAAAATTTATTGTTACTTAAAATTAAATCCTATATCAATTTTAGGGAACCATAATTTTTTACAAATTCATATACCGATTCATATACCGATGTCATACATATGTAGTAACACTATTTTTTACATTATTGATAATTTACCCTCTAACTTGACAAAATAATTTAAGTTTTCTTCACATAATTCATAAAATTCACAATTAAATTCTCAAATCTAATTGATGTCGTATAGCACTAATTTTTAGATTTTTTTATAATTTCATAACTTATTCACAATGAAATTCTAAAATCGACAAAATTATTGATAACACTATTTTTTAAAAATAAATTAGATGTCATACATATGTAGTAACACTATTTTTTACATTATTGATAATTTACCCTCTAAATCGACAAAATTATTTAAGTTTTCTTCACATAATTCATAAAAATTTCACAATTAAATTCTAAAATATAATTTTTTACATGTAATCACCATTAAATAGCGAGAAAATACAAGAAATTAAGAGAAAATCTAATTTTGGGAGGAATTTACCCTCAAACTGTCGAAATCCGGCGAAGTTGGCGGTTCCGGCGGTCGGAATCAAGGGCCGGCGATCGGAAAGGGGTTCTGGCGGTCGGAATCAAGGGCCGACGGTCGGATTTGGGGGGCTGGGGTCGAAAATGACGTGGACGGCGGCGGTTGGGACGGGAGAGAAGTTAGGGTTTGGGGGCGGTTGCGGGGAGAGAGAACTGAGGTGGGGAGGGGTCTGGCGCTCCGGTTATATAGGCCGCAGTTTTACGGGAGTTCAACTCCCGTGGAGCTGCAGGGTAAAATCCCCAACGAGTAACTCGCTGGAAAATCTGGCCTCCAGCTTCACGGGAGTTGAACTCCCGTGAAGCTGCAGGCTAATTTATATACGATTATGTCATTTCATTAGTAGCATCACTTAATCATGAGTAATTGAAAATTATATATTACAATTTGATAAGCATGAAACTTCAAGGTATGGTCACTTTGGTGACTAACAAACCATCCATGAGTTAACTAAATTTCAATGTAACAATAAGCCCGTAAACACTGTTTTAAATATCGGCCGATAACCGATATTATCGGCCGAGTTATCGGATTTGGGAGCTCTCCGATAGGATAACTTGGATTTTTAATCGGTTATCGTTTTTGGCAAGTTATCGGCGTTATCGGTACTTATCGGCCGATAAGTAAGGTTTTTTTATCGGGATTATCGGCCGATAAGTAAGGCTATGCAATCGAATGGTTTCATCGTGCGGTCAAGATGCAAGTTTTGCTTTCTACAATTGGTTAGTGATTCTAAACATGATGATTTACATTTTGGTATGTTTATATTTCATTAAGCATGGTTAAATTACATTTTTTAGTTATTATATTATATATATACACCATCTAGTATATCACTCCGATAAATACTACTTATCCCCGATATATCCCCGATTTCCGCTATCCGATAAGTATTTTGGCCGTCCGATAAATTCCCGATAACTGATATTTAAAACCTTGCCTGCAACTCCACGGGAGTTGAACTCCCGTGGAGTTGAGGGAAATAAATTTCACGGGAGTTCAACTCCCGTGAAGTTTAAAAGAGTGCTAAACTTCACGGGAGTTGAACTCCCGTGAAGTTTCGTAAAGTTTTTTAGAAAAACCGACCTGGTTTCAGCGACAGTGCTGAAACCAGGTCGGTTTTTCTAAATAAATTGGAAACAGGTCGTTTTTTACAATTAAAACATCAAATGGGTTGGTTTTGAAAATTTGTCCTTACTTCATCAGGGTAGTGGGATTAGGACAAAGCTACATCTATTATCGTAGATCCCTATCCCACATTTACTTCTCTTGTTACATAAAATTGTATTGCCAAGTTTACTAAAGAAGCTGTATATGTAAATGTCCACAATGCGGTGCAATAGGAAATAATTTCACGCCGTTCCAAAAATTTACACAAAAGTTACAAATCCTACCATGCGGCAAAGTATTATGCTTCATAGAGGCATTGAAACGTAACCTTTCGTACTAATTCTAATTCAAGGCTCATCACATTAACACTAAAACACAAAATTTACTTCCCGCTGAACTAACTGTTCAGCTTCCCTCTCTCCAGTCTCTCCACTATGAAACTTAAAGGCCTGTACTTGAGATTAAAACAGAACCAAACAGAATAAAAAAACAACAACAAATAATAATTATCCGATACAACATAATCATTCTTCAATAGCTTGAACACTTTCTCAATTCTTCAATTCTTGTTCTAGAAACCCAATGCACCATAAAACTTTACTTGCAAAATAATTTATCCTCCAGTTCTTTGAGGAGTCCTCTGATTGCATGTCTAATTCATCATATTGCATGTCTAATTCATCATAAAGTGAAGTTTCTTGTTCCATAAGAAGAAAATAATGAATTTCATTTCTAGAGAAAGAAAAGTTTATGAGAAATACAAAACAAAATTGAGGTAAAAATTGTTGAAAAGGACTTTTCTTATATTGAGTGCAATTTGAATGATATAATTTGCATATTTATCAGTTGCAAGTCTTTTGAGTTTATTATTGTCAAACCCTACAAATTTTCAAACCCTACAAATTTTCAAACTAAGAATGGTTTGTAAGATTCATGAGTAGAAAACTAGGCATCCTTGACGGCCATTCCCGTCAAGGATGCTAAAAATCCCGTTAGATTGTGTATCTTTGATGGGGGCCCGTTAAGGATCGCCCGTCAGCAAATATTCTGTCAAGGATGTCAACATCCTTGACGGGCGCCCGTCAATGATGCACATCCCTAATGGTACATCCTTGACGGCATCCTTGATGGACAATCGTTAAGAATGTTTGAAACATTCTTGACAGTGTGGCCGTCAAGGATGCACATCCTTGTCGTTAAGGGTGTCATATTTTCATTCAAAAAAATATAATCCAAATTTCATTGTTTACAATATAGTTTTTACACAATATAATTTGTAGAATAATTTACTCAGTAATAGTTGTTAGGAATCTTGACCCCAAGTTTAGTTTATTTTGATGATAACAAATATTATATATTGTGTGTATTATGTGCTAACATTTGTTTTGCAGTATTAGAGCTATATCAATAATTATATTCAAAGAGATACTCAAGACATAGATGAGTTCAAGGCAAAATGAAGCAAAGAAAAAGATATACTTTATTGTCAAAATGTAATTTTATATTTTCTTTGCTTAGATATTTGTACAAGCTTTGATCACTCACACACATGCACACACATAGTGTTAGAACACACTAACACATGCTTAGTGTGTTGGTTAACAATAGAAATCCCCTATGTTAGCCATTAGAGTTTATAGATATTGAGTGAGTCTTAAAACATTTCATTTATACCCCATATCATTTAGAATCTGAAAAAACTCAAAAGATCAAAGTTGTAGGTCTCTTCAAGAACTTTCCAACAAATCTTAAATCACATCATTCCGATATCGGATGAGAAAGTTACAGTCAAAATACTGAAAAGAAAATTCCAGAATCTGTGAGTTTACAGTGTAGTCGACTACTATGCCTTGTAGTCGACTATTAAGCAATTTTCTGACTTCACAGAGTCTGTTTAGACTCAGTGTAGTCGACTACTATGACTTGTAGTCGACTACAGATGCAGTTTTTTTAGATTTCAGGTTTTAAATAAGTGACTGTTTATAGCCATTTTGTGGACGTTAATTGGGTTTAAAATTATGTCATTTCAGAGGCTATAAATAGGTTTAAACATCAGAAAACAATCACCAAGTTTTGCACTTATAAGATTCACATTTTGTGCAAATTAACTCTCTAAACTTTTAGTTTTTCAATCTATTTTTCTATAAAAGAGAGTTTCTGTTATTGCCTTTGTTCCTATCATTCTTAGAGCTTGTTTAAGCAATATTCAGAGAGTTAAAAAGATTGTTAAGCCACTGTTATACATTCACATCTATATCAAGGCTTATAGGATTGGAATTGTACATTGCTTCAAAGAAAGGTTCTCTCGGTTTATGAGAAGGGTTGATCTTTTGGTCTAGAGATCGGTGTGACGATTGGCATGATCTTGTCAATTGGGTTTGTAATTTACATGGTCTTGTAAATTGGTCAGGTTTGCTTTTGGTTTTGTAAGGTTTCAAAATCATAGTGGAAATTCTCAAGCGGGATTTGCTTGGGGACTGGATGT